AGGCGTGGGGGATTCATGAGAGGGGCAACGGGGAAGCAGTTAGGGTAGAGGAGAAAGAATGCGGGGTAAAGGGTAAAAGCATCGGGGCGAAAGCTGGGCCGCGTGGTTAATCCCACGGTCCGCTTTCTCTGAGCTTCATCGAACTTGTGCCGCGAATCTACGAACCAAACATCGAACTTTACCAAATAGCCGCGGTTAATGACCGCGCCGCGGACACCCCGCCCTCCCAAACTGGCCTGTAGTTATTGTTGGAGCCGTTAATTTTAAGAACAATCTAATCAAATGATCAATAAATGATTGATTTTTTTTTCTTAGCCAATATAAAATTTGATACTGCTAATTCAAAATTAAGCTAAATAAAAAATTAACTAAAATAAATTAAAATTAAATTTCTTAAATACATAAATAAATAAATAAAAATGAAAAAAAAAGCTAAAAAAAAACTTATATAGTAAAATCATTTATTATAATCATTATGAATAGACAAATAAAATTGTGCATGAATCTTTTTTATTACATCAAAATTATCAATTAATATGTCTACACCAAAACTCATTATAATATATTTTAATACATATTATCAATAAACTCTTAAGAAATTTTTGTTTCATTTTATCATGTTGCATTATCTTGACAATCTTTATAACTAAAATTCACATGTACTTGCTATAAAAACAATGTGTTAGAAATAGTATAATCAAATGATTAATAAAATAATATATGAATGCTTTTTTGGTCATAACAATATTTGATAAAAATAAGAAAGTGTAAGAAGATTTTGAAAAAAAAACTTTAAAATGAATAATATACTAATTTTTAAATTTTTGTCATAAGATGTAAGACAAAAATAAAATCAAATGAGGTATTACATTATAAAAACTCCATCAACATTACATAATAAAATCAAATGAGGTCATCATACATCTTAGCCAAACTACACAAAAAAAAACTCAAATGTGATTCCCAATGTGTATCTCATGTATATTTTAAGACACTAAGTAGATTCAATCATTTACCAATATCTAGTTTATTAATTACAATAATTTGTATAATTTTAGTTGCTTGAGTAAATTTATATTGATCCCGTCTTTTACAATAATTAGAGACTGAATTAGTTTTAAGCATCGAACAAACAAAAAAATTAACAAATTGAAATACTATTTTTTTATGAGAAATAATATTTTTTATGATGCTACTAATGTCAATTGTAATATGTGCACTAAACATTCAACATGATATGCAATGGAATTATCTTAAATGGAAGAACCATGCAACCTATTTTATTCACCCTTGCATCACTTATAACTTCCCATCTTTGACCTAAAATGTTGTGAATGCTAAGATTATATTAGGAGAGAACAACACCAAATTTTTTCATCAGACTTGATGCACTTATATCTTCTAACATAAATTATATTAAGGAATTACTAAATAACAAATTCATCTTTATCAACAAATTTTAATAGAACTGTCATTTATTCTCATTTTAATAGATCTAAAGTTTCATTAAAAATAATATAATATTATATATTATATATATTATCTCGTTTAGATTTTTAAATCTAGCTTGAAGATAAAGATTTTTTTTTTTTTTTGAAAAAAAGTGAGGGTCACAGCCAGCTTTATTGAGAGAAACACAGAATACAACATCGAGTTATTACAAAATAACTCAGAAACAGCTCACACAAAGAGAAAAAAATAAATCCTAAAAAAAAACACACAAAACAAACTAACATAAAAAATACTAGCAACAACAAACTCCACAATAAAGATTCTAAACAACAACAACACAAACAAACTCTGCCACCAACAAACATTGACACAACAACAATATCAACTTCAACAACAACAACAAAATCACTGACAAAAAGAACATTAGTAACTTATTATCTTTATACCTGCAAAAAATCAAGAAGAGAAAGCACATAACCTGAGATAAAAACAAACAAAATCCAAGAAAAAATAAAAAGACAATAAAATAGAATCATAAAAAAAAACCGAAAGAAAGAACAAAAAGAAACCATAAAAAATAAATAAATAAAAGGACAACTAATCCTCAACTAAGAACTTACCCAAAAATAAATAAATAAATAAAATGCCATCCTAGATTTAGAATATAAAAATATTCAAAATCAGGTTAAATTTTAATTATGGCTGGAATTTATCATAGCTTAAAACCAATCTCAGCAATTATAAAGATCAAGTAAGAGATCCAGTCAAATCCAAAATCCGCAACCACAATATAAGAACTAACAACCCAAGCTCCAGACAACAAGAACCATATGGCAAAACATAAACATCCAACATCAAAATCAAGAACATGAACAAAGCTCCATCAAACTTAGCAGAATAAAAAAATGCCTAAACACAAACGCCTCTAGCAGCAATAATAGAAACAAAAACCCAAGACAAACACTACCAACAAACAACAACATTACCAACAACCACACCATCAACACAACCTCAACAACAACCCAAAAACTAAATAAAACACGAAGTGAAACCACTAGAGAAAGAAAAGGGATAAAAAAACCCTAGCTCATAACTTACCTACAAGAAAATATTAAAATTCTATCCAAGAATTGAAATATATAAAAACATATTCATAATCAGCTTAAATTTTAATAACGGTTGAAATTCGTCAAAGCACAAAATCAATCTCAACAATCAGAAGAGAACAAAGAAAAATGCAAGCATCTCAAAAAAAAAACCACAGAAAAGAAACCGAAAGACAAATCTCCAAACAACAGAAAACATAAAAAATCAATATAACTTGTAAAAATTCCTAAAAAACAAAGGAATAAACTTTTTAACTTCTATTTCCTACTTTTCTCTTTTAACCATACAATGAATATTCTGAATTATACTCTCAACTAGAATGCAATGAGCTTTAAAAATTCTACAATTCCTTCCATACCATTGTCGTTTACCCCAATTTTGATTAATCTCAAACTTTATCCACACTAATATATTATTTTAGATTACCAATTTTATCTCGTATAAATTTTCGGAACTTCTTTGAGAATAGAGATAAAATCTATTTTTAAACATTTAGAGATGTATATAAAACATTTAAAAAAAAAATTGTAACCCCACCGCTATCCTCATAATAAGAAGCTAACAACTTAACCAATTCAATAAAATGATCCAAATTATTCGATTTCGAACTTTCATTATGACATGTAAAAATACAACATTAAGAACAAATTCACTTCATAATAACAATAAAAATTTTAAGCTAAAATCTATTTTTTGCAACTTATTGAGAAGATCATTTTTCAAAATATTTATTAATATGTTTTAATGAATTCATCATATCTTACAATTTTTTTTACAATTCGTGTATTTGACTGTCTAAATTTTAATTCTTTACTCACATGCTTCATTAATAGACATCCTTCATCACTATTTAATGTTTACTTTTTGTGATAAATTATTTAAAATAGTTATAATTTTTTTAAAATTAAAAATAACATAGTTATTTAATTGTTATTAAACATTTAAATTTAAGATAAACAAAAATTTTAATATATTATTGATACGCCACCAACAAATTTTCATCGTCTGACATGAATCTCGGTGCAATTTTTCGAACAAGATACATTCAAACTTCGATTAAGAGTCATCCGGAGCTCCGATTTCAGCAAACTTATAATCAAAACTAATCGGCTCGATGAGACGGACCTAATGATATGAAAGTCAGTCTAATCCGAGTAAAATCAAGCCCATATCAAATCATTAAACCAGTATTGGAGGATTTCCAGAGGTATTCTAAAGGTCAAACAGATGTTAAATTTAGCGAGTTTATAATCAAATCGAGCGTCTCGAAAAGACGAATCCAACGAGTCCAAGATTGCTCAATTCCAACATCGTTAAGGCACTCAAATGTCCATCAAACGTCATCTGATTAAGGGAAGCTTTCCAGGCCGTCCGATCAAAATGGTTCATATTCATGCATTAATTGCACTCAAAACACTATAAATAGAGCCTCACCCCTCACATGAAGGGGAAGAGGCTTAAGAGAGAACTTGAGGTTTTGAGAAGGAGCTCAATTCCAAGATCATCCTCGCCATCGTTGATCGTCGTCGACCACCCACTGATCGCCGCCGACCTTTGTCAACCACCGCCGACCACCGTTGAACGCCGCCGACCACTGTCAACTACCACCTGACACCACACCACCGACCGTCATCGACTGTTGTTAGCTACCGTTGACCTCTGTCAACCACCGCTTACTAGACGTCATCAGTCGACGTTGTAACGTGGAAAGCTAGAAACCCTTTCCCGCCTGTGGGACAAGGGGCATTTGTAATCATCAACTTATAGTGAATTTTTACAACTGGGCTAGACCCCGTGGTTTTTCCCTTTTTACCAGTTTTTCACGTAAAAACTTCTGGTTTTATTACAACTTAATTCATTTTCATCTGAGTGTGTGCTGAATTTTCGTGCAACGCTAAGACGATAATCCATTACTCTACCGCCGCGAATTTTCTAGCACGCATCAATTATAATAATAAAGAATTTAAAAATCTAAAAGGACTACTGCAAAATTTGGCCATTCCGCCGCTGGTTGCAGGATATTTTTATAATCATCATTTTGTTAAGGGTCTGTTTGGGGCCGCTGCAACTTATTAATAAACTGCTAATAAGTAGCTGTCGCAGATAAGCTGCTCAACAACAGCTGATTCAGATAAGTTAGTTGGTTGTTTGATTTGTGATGTTGAAAAACAGCTATTTTGCAGTTGTTTTTTTATAAATGATCATTCTGCCCCTGTGCATAAATGTTGTTTGCAACAGAACTGTCATAGCAATATATTTGATATTTGAGAAGTAAAAAACCACTTCATAACAATATAAAAAATATGATTTACACCTTACTTAATAGTCAGTATCAAGATTGCTAAAAATAGAAAAATAACTATTAAAATTACATTTTAAAATATAATAATATTAGTTTTAAAATGCAGACGACGTATGACACGAGCAATGTTGTCCTCCAGGGATACCATCCATTCATAATCACTGTTTGAAGTAGAATATGCCAGACTGTCTGCCACCGAAAGAAGTCGCACTTCTCCGTGATTCTCCACGGGCACCTGTAGAACTATCTTTCATAATTATGTGCCTGACATGACGTTAGTAGGGAAGTTTGAAGTCCGCAGTGGTAAAGCAATCGTTGGGAGTCCCTGAAATCCTAGAGCTCATCTTCCCTGAATGATTCAAAAGACAACCCATTAGTCATAACACAAGTATAAATTGGCAAAAACAGTAATTAATTACAGTTTTGTCCGGGCGCGAGGTCTCAGAGAATTAAGTACACCAGCCCCACTGAACCTGTTACAACAAGAAGTCAACAGACCTTATAAAACAGGGGATCTTGATTGCCTTTAGCTCATTTAATACCAAACTCGCGTGTCATATCACAAAAAAAAAGGTCATTTAGAAGTACCTCAAAAACCACAACATCAAAAAGAAGAGAGAAACTTGGTTGTCTTTACCATGATTTCACATTTGACACCTAACAATAATGACTAAAAGGTCATCTAGAAGTATCTCAAAATGAAAATAAAAGAGAAACTTGGTTGGCTTTATCAAGATTTCACACGTGACACCAACCAACAGTGGCTAACAGATAATCCAGAAGAACCCAAAAGGACGAGACTCATCATGGACTCACAAACCCACAAAAAAAAACAAAATCAGTCGAAAAAGGAGAAAAAACAATTACAAACAATATACAAATTACAATATCTAAAATATCAATAATACATGGAACATAAAATAAACACAAACTTTATAAAATAAATAAGTGCGTTTGATTAGATTCCAACCCAAACCCATGGATTCCTGTTTTAGTTCCTTTCATAATTTTCAGTCATTTTTTAAGTGATCTCGCTTATTCTTAAATTGCAACCTATCATAGTCCATTCATGTCATTTCATTAAACTTTTTCATAATATTTTGCAACTCTTCGTTGTTAAAATAGGCGGTGGGTCTATTACCTAGCTCAACCTCTTTAAGACACTAGTCGTAAAATATGAGTGTGACTTCTCAATCACACATGACTGATGAACCGACTTCTTTTGTGTTACTAACAAAGAAAAGAGAAAACATTAATATTTCAGATCAACCAGAGAATAGACATTAGCTACCACTCAGCCCCTAGCACAACCACCATCCACCCCAACACATCTGCCACCTACCCCAACACATCCACCACCCAACCCTCAGCACATCTACCACCTAACCCTCAGCACATCCACCACCCAACCCCCAACACCACCCTACCCCCAACACGTCCACCACCCAACCTCCGGCACATCCATCACCAATCTCCAGCATAGTCACCACTCAACCCCCACCACATCCACCACCCCACTCCCCAGCATATCCACCACCCAACACCCATAACGACCAAAAGAGCTACTCCAAAAGGCCCTCAAGAGGTTCAAAATGAAAAAAAATTTATTGCAAATGCTCTAAATGAGATGAAATTATAAAGAGGCCCTTTTGGGCAAAAAATCTTTAGAATGCCCACAACCACAATGAACTACAATAAACCACAACCCCTTCTCATATTTCATTTGAAGCAATTACAAACAGGTCATCTCAATGAACCACAACCACAGCCCCTTCCCATTGAGGCAATTAAATACCCACACCACACACACACCCAAAACTACCATACGCATACCCACAATCACAACACACAATACCCAACCACAACCTGCATCACAAACAACCACACACACACACCTATAGCCACAACACACAACGCCCAAACATAGCCCAACACAAGACACACCAGCCCACAACCACCATACACACACCCTAAACCACAACCCACAACACATACAACCACAAACACACCCACCCACAACCTCCACACACACACACCCACAGCCACAACACACGACACACAACCACAACCTACAACCCACATCTTAATGAAGCATCTCCCCTCATTTTTAATTCAATGCAATTACATACAGACCATCCTAACATTGGCATCTACTAATGAAGTGTCCTCTTTCATCCATTTTTCAATTTATAGATGAAGCATAAAAGAAAAAGTAGTGTAGTATTGAATAGAAGCAAATGCAAAAAGGCCACCTAAAAGAATGCTATGAACAAATCAGACACTCTTTTACATCAATTTTCAAATTGTCACACACACATCAACGAAATTGATGAAATCCCATCCAATATTTTTCATTTGAGGCAATGACATATAGGGCATCCAAAAACTTACAATCTACAAATGAGCACCCTCTACAAATGAGTATCTAAAACCTTGCTATCGTCAAATCAAGCACACACTTTCACCCATTCTCTAAATTACATCTAAAAATTGAAAAACCGCATAAATAAAGCCATTCCACCGAAAAACCGCATGCAGGATACAATTCCATCAAAAAAATCGTCACAAATCGCATATAGAATGACATTACATCAAAAATTACTTACAGAACACAGTAACCAGAGGTCAAAGGGAGTGGCGAAAGGCACCGCTAATCGTGAGATAGGAGCATTCGAGGGAGAGAGGCAAGCGAGGAGTCACTTAGGGCAAAACAGGGGTCAAGCGAGGAACGAAGGGCATGCGAGCAATAAGGCGGGGTAAGAACGCGGTCAGCGGGGCCGAGCCCGCAGACGCATTTATTCAAAAAACTCGAACGACTTATTCAGATAAGCAAAGTAAACACATGAAACAAACACCTCAACTGTGTTTTCAAAATGCAAACACACCAAATAAGCTGCCCCAAATGGGGCCTAAGTTTTCCCTTCATATTATATAGTTTACTCGTTCATTAACAAGATTTTCTAAGGTCTTTTTGGGGCAGCTGCAGCTTATTAAAAAGCAGTTGTGAGCTGCTTATGAATAATCTGATGTTCAAAAAACTGTGTTGGCTATTATTATTTTTTTTTTGTGAAAAAGTCAAACCAAAGCTAAAAAGTTACCACTGCATCTAGTCAGGACTGATGAAAACATGCAGATTTCAGCGACAGCTTTACCGGTAGCTCTGCCAAAACACAATTTACCTAAACACACAAAACTGCGGTGTGATGCCACACCACCGCTGCCAAACTGATCCTTAGTTTAGTTTGCTATTGCTGAAAAGCAACTTGCAACACCAACAACACATAATATGCTGGCATGTGTGGTTGCAACAGTCCTAATGCAGGAAGAAATTCCACCATCAATAGTGAACCAGATTATTAGGAAATTATTAGGAAATTTCCTTTTTTTTGGGAGCATTTACATATATACCACAAATTTCTTATATATGTACCTAAACTTTCATATTTACTTGCATACCACTCACATCTTTAACATCACATAAAAAATCCCACCTTCATTAACTTTTAAAGAGTGAAATGCACCTTTTCATGCAAAAGTTTATGATATCAATGTTTTATAAGTGTAAATAATAAATTTCAGATGTTAGATATGTAAATAGATAAAATTGTGGTATAATGTAAATTTGCTTACATTGGGAATGAGGCTATCTATTTGGGTTCCAATTTCATGCTTTAAAGCTCTTTTCCACACTATTTCAGATCCTTGCTTCTCGGTGTCAAAATTCTGTCAGAATAGAGGGATTAGATGAGCTCGAACAAACACAGCAAGAACCGATCAAGTTGTTGCTTAGCCCAAAGCTCAGCTCTGTGCCCTCCATGCTCATCTTGGATCAGGAAAAAAAAAAAAACTGTTTTTGCGATTAGATTAAGGGGTGTTTGGCTATTATGTTAGAAAGAATTAAGTAAATCCGGATTTACACTGACGGAGATGATGATGGAGATGACGCTCACATCACAATTGAAGAACTTCTTAACTCCGCCTAACAATTTGATTTAGTAAATTTGGATTTACAACATAAAAGAAACGGAACACGAAAAGAAAAGGGGGAATGTGAGAAAATTGATTTAATGGAGAGTTGGATTTAATTTTTATTTATTTTTATGTTTGGTTGGATTTACGCAAAATTCATGACTAAATCCTATAAAAACTAGCTACCAAAAACCTCTAAATGGTTTAACATGCTAAAGCTTCTAAACACACCATCTAACATGATAAAGAAAGACGAGGAACTTAAACAAAACAATAATTCTCTTAATAAAGGAGAGCAAAAATGACCACTAAAAACCCTATAATTCTAGCACCTAAATTTGTCATCTAAATTCAAACGGGAATTATTAAAAGAGGAAAGAGAGATTTGTTCGCCTATGGTAGAGAAAATGGAGCTGGTTTCTATGGAAACAACAATAATCGAAATAATAACCTTTAAAAATTTTGTTTCAAACCTAGATTTGATTCTGGTTGCAGAAGTTCACAGTATCCCAATGAATGGAGCCAAATGAGTTTGTACCTGTACAAATCCTCTTCTGGAGATGCTCCAAGCTGGCCACCCGCTGCATAGGAGCTGTTCTGTACATCTTTCCCGTGTAAGGAGCTGCAGAGGTGGCTTCAGGAAGGTAGCTGTTGATTCCCTGGTGTACCAGAGGAGCAATGGAGCGGACGTTCGGATCATCCTGTATTGGAACAGCAGCAGCAGAGGATATTTCTGATGGAGAACTGACGAAGGAAGCTGCAGTTGTTACTCTCTTTACTAAATCCTCGGCCATTTTTACCTGAATAGGATGGGAGTGCTTCATCATTGTAAAACTAGAGAAAAATAACATTTGAGGTCAGAGATTCAAGTTTAGTGCTTTATGTTCCATGTTACAAGGTGCTAAATTTAAAACATTGTTAGTAGAGAAACCTCAGCAGTACGTGTAGAGAAAATGCATAATATTTTTCTTTTATTACGATGGAGATGGACCGACAAGTTTGCCCCAACAACCAGTTTGGGTTCAACCCAAGGCCAATTTGGTCCCAACAATCTCAACAACCTGTTGCTCGCCGGCTAGCTCTGTCACACAATGACCGAGGGGGGTTACTGTAAATAGGGGTCATATGTACAAGCCAGAAGAGGTGTTATGGCTCCATGTGCGCCACAAGACATACCTCAATAATAGGCATCATCATGTTTTTTGTATTCTTTTCATCAATATAATCAATCATGATACCCCCTTTGACATATAAATAAGGTTGGGTCAGCCGCATTTCTAAATGAGAGGATTAGGTGATACTGCAAAAAGATCATATGAGTAAAAATATGAGCCTAGTCTCATCTCCTTATACTCTTTTATCCTCTACACCCAATTTTTCATTCTCTCTTTTCCCATCCCGAATGTTCTCGTGTTTACGGAGCAACTTCGGATCCAACACAAAGAATAGATGTTTTGAAACACTGATTACAAAGAGCTTCCAAAGCATGCCAAAATTCCAATGCTAATTTCTCATTCACAAAGTGCAGTAAAAACAGAATACCCACCACAAAAAAAAAAAAAAAAAAAAAAAGGGAAAAGAAAAGAAAAGAAAGACCAGCAAATAAAAAGAAAGTCACCAAACCTCAAGCTCAGCATACTTCTAAAGAATCGCGTGAAGCTTACCTTAGCTCTCAAGGTCTCAACATTTGTTTTGAGAATTCTATTTTCCATAACAGCTTCATTATATTTCTGATTTATGTCAGTGAGACGCTTTAACAGGGACGAGTTTTCAACTCTTAATTGCGCAACCTGTACCGTCAGTTGGTAGAGCATGCTTATTCATAAAGGGTTGACATTTAAAAAAGAACTGATCAGAAAATACCTGTGTCTCAAGCTCACTTAAATGTGCTTGCTTTTTTCTTCTAGAACGTCTAGCGGACTCACGATTCGAGAGCATTCTTATAACAAGCAAACAGGTCAGAATGCCAAACATTTAAAACTATGGGATAACTTCACTCCAGGCATGGCTGCCATGGCAGAAGATGCAAAAAACAGGAAAATGAATTCAAATATAGTCTCCACAACAAGCTGTTCTTCTTTTGAAAATAGCACTGAACTTCAACGGATTAACCAACCCAACTGAATATAGGCTTTTCAGAAAAAAAAAAAATCTTGTTCTTTGTTGAGCGAAGTGTGAGAACAGCTTGTTATTATATAAGAGCAAAACTGTAGACCAAAAAGTAAAAACATTTTTACCTCCTAGACCGTTTTGCATTAGCAGGATCTATATTCTCTATATTTTCTTCTTCCCCATTAGGTTCATCTTCATCAGATTGCTCCCTTGTAGATTCACTAGTAGCTGTTCTACCCTGAGCACAACCAAAATGCTGCACAAGGGGCATAGCAATAACAGCTGTCCTACCACCTGCATTATTAACTTAGAACCATTCCCTGATCTTACAGAAGCAACAAAACTGGAAAATTTCATCCTCATCTCATTAGAATTTTTAAGTAATTGAGAGAGTTGGTAAAATTTCATATTGATTGACTATTTACTCCAAGACTTATGGGAGTACATATTATTTTTCACATCTTTCTTACGATGTTACTTTCATGATGATACTCATATAATTCAATTCGAGCCATTCTGATTTTAAGAATATATGAGTTATGGAGATTTGCTATAGCAAGATTTGACAACTTCATCGTTACTTTATTCTATTTGTTAGAGTACTTCCGAAAAATCAATCAGAACCAGAAGCAATATAGAAGGTTAAAGAAAAAATGATTGTAATTTGCCTGCAACTATTTTAGAAGTATGACGTAAATTTGTGGATCAAATTCTTTTTGGGATAATATGTATCAGCCACTTTAAGTATAACCCAAGGCTTCTTTTTACAGGAAATTGCTCTAGCCAATGCAAACACCGGCCCACCTTTGTGCCTTTCTCACTCACGTAAACTACTCGATGCTTAGCGTCATCTCAATAGAGCATCAATACATTAATCTCATGCCATTGTCATTTTTCTTCACCATTGTAGCTCAATTTAAGAAGCCATAGTATTAGGATTGAGAACGAGCCTTAAGTTTTCATCCCCTCCCCTTCACTGTTACTACCCCTTGCAAGCCTTCATTATAAGTCCTCAGCCTCGACATTTTAGACGCTCTTTATCTTCTTCAACCAAGAATAAAAAATCACAAGCCTTTTATTTTTGAATTTGTATGGATGATTACAGCCCATTAGAAGCAAGCGCTTTCCTCTTCGCCAATGCTCATTTGGTCACCATCATCAAAGATTCGAGATTTTGTGGGTAATCGTTTCTTTTTTGCCAGTTTTTCATTTAATTTTAAAATTTAAAAAAAATATTAAAAATATTAGGTATTGTTAATCTTGTATTTAAGCTTTATTTTAATAAACTCTAGGATAGGTCATGCATTAATTATCTAATATTATTGGTTTCCTCCCATAATCATAATTATTTCAGATTGACTTTGGGGTAATTTATTTGAAATTAGTCAATGCCTATATGTGCTTTTATGATTAATATAGGATTCTTAATGCGCAGAATCTTCTTGTTGATTGTTAACCTTGTGTGAATAGTTGGATATTAATTAAAATTAGAGTTCTATACTATTCACATTAAGATAATTAACTCTATTTATCAAGGAATAAACATATCATTTTTCATTAGGGTGATATCTTTGGCATTTGCAATAAACTCTTCGGTATTTTGTAGGTTGTGGTCATATCTTTCACATTAAATTATTATCGTACATATTTTTTAATCCTATTTAATGTTGATAATGAAATAAAAAGTGTGTTGATAAGTTCTTGATTCATTGCTATAGAAATTCTTGAGTATTAAAAAGATTACTATGATAACATCTATGATTTAGGATCTTCTCCATTTCAAGATGTTTGAGTTAAATGAATATATATATGAATATGCTTAATATGATAGTATAGAAAGATATTATTTATATTGTTTTCCATACAAGTGATCATGAGCGTCACTATTCATATCATGAAATATTATTCTAAACAATCAACTTGATAACAATTAACAAAATGCTATTTGTAGATCATACAATTTTTATGTTTATCATGGAGTAAAAGGCCAAAATAGTGCCCCAACTATTAATAAGTGTCCAATTTAGTCCGAATGTTTTAGAATGCTCCAATTTAGTCCCAGAATTTTAAAATGCTCCAATTTAGTCCCAGACTCTTAAAACTTGCTCCAAATTAGTCATAAATAATATTTCTCGTTAAATTTAATGGTGATCTGCAGGAGATTTTCGTCTTTTATATAATTATTTAAAATTTATGTGGTTTGTTTATAAATCTCTTCATAATAGTCACAATTTTTTTTCAAATATTATATATGGGATAACTTCAGAAATTTCTTTAATATATATATATATATATATATACACAAATTTATGTGGTTTGTATATAAATCTCTTTTCTATTTATTGTTGAAAAATTATAATTTTTAATTTGCATTAATAAATCTTAACCTTTTTTAAATTAAAAATTTTAAAATAATGAAAAATTATGCAATAAGAGCTTACTCAATATGAAATTATATGAATTACTCAATTTCAATTGAATTTTCGATTATTATTTATTAGAGAATGTGTTTAATTCAATTTAACCTGAAAAACTAATAAATGAATTTATAAAATATTATGTATGAACCACTTATATTTTTATATAAATATTTTTCAATAAAAAATATTGAAAAATTACATAAAAGATGAAAATACCTTTCAATTCATGCAAGTCATAGTTAAATTTAATGAAAAATATGATTTATGATCAACTTGGACTAACTCTTAATTGTCTGAGAATAAATTAGAGCATTCTTAAACTCTAGGACTAAATTAGACACTTCTTAATAGTTGGGAAACTATTTTAGGCTTTTACCCGTTTATCATGCAAGCCCCAATGCCTTGGTGTTTATGCTTTCATAGAAAAAAGTTACTTGTTGAGTTTGAATTTTCAAACTCTTTCGCTATAAAATTTCTTATAGCAACTTGTAACAAATTGAGGGTAAATTATTATTACAGGAGAAAACTTCTCAACAGGAGTTATTTAATCGGTCCTTGAGCTTATACTGGATGTTTAACCTCTATTGGGCTTGAGTAGTTATTGCTTATGTAGTAGCTTCTCTTGTAAACTTTTTAGTAATTATTGTTATTCCATATTGATCTTTTATTCTAGACTTTGTTAATGTAATAATATTACTTAATTTTCCATGTTTACTTTTATATGTTCTATTTATGATTACTTGCATATAAAACTTTTCAATCTTGAGTACAAAACAAGTTTAATTGATCTTGACTTTTAAAATATATCTCGAGTTAAAGTCAATCTATTCATCATATCTTTCGTTGTTAGGGTGCACCGCCTTCCAAAGTCAGGGTACAACATGTATGATATTGTACCTCTATGTGCTCAATCCCCTTTGTCTCTATTTATAGGCTTTATAGGGAGGAGGAAAATATTAGAGATAACAATCTTAAAAGTCTTTGAAGAGGATGATATCCTACACCAACATTCTAAGTTTCCTCCATTCCTATCACTCAGTTGCGCCACTGCTACCAACTACACCTCCCCTTGAGGGCGATGCACTATCATCACACTTTACAATAAACTCATTTTGTTTCAAGCCAATGAAAAAAATCTCATGCATTTGTTTAAAACTCAGATAAATAACTTTTTTTAGCAAATCAAACGTCCGCAAAATCTAACTATTTCACAAAATTATGTTTACAGCTGTACACCTCATGGAAAATCCATTCACAATCCTTCGAACATAATTCAGTTGATTTTTATCTTTTAGTTTTTTAAGAGGGAAGCGAGGGCCCTCGTTAAAGTTTTTCCTCCAAGGACATTCAGGGGAGCTGCATACACTCACACTATCTTTAAAATAACTAAATTCAAACTATAAACAACTAGAAAGACATCATGTCAAAGTTAATGCTAAATACCTTTGAATGGAGCTTCAGATCCCAACGAAGAAGAATCAATTCTACCATCAACTGTTGAGGAATTACGAGATATCATGCCAACACCCTGCAAAGGGAATACAAGTTATAATCAAACCTGAAATTCAACATGAGATGTCCCTTGCACATTGACCAGTCATATGGCAAATGTAAGAAGAAAGATTTAGAAAGCAGATGAAATCAAATAGAAAAAAAATCTCAAGCATAGCAGGAGTTGCAGTAAATAAAATACGTGCATTAGTGCCCCACTTAATTCAAGCAATCCTCAGATTTCAACAACAGAAAGATCTGCTTCAATTCATGTTATCTGCCTCTAAAATCAACCTGTTTTAACATAACAAGTGGCTACAAAAAGTTTCTATTATAGTCAAGAATAATTTTGACTTATAGCGAATCGTCAAATTTTAAGTTAAGGTGGCTGCAACAGATGCTATTGGAATTGTTAAGTCAAATTTTTTACATAATCAAATCTTTACAATATTGATATGTGATCAACAAATCCATCATCCAACAAGAATCTTGAGGCATGACACGAATTTCAATACAATCTTTTGAGCAAGGAAAATTTAAATTTCGATTAAAAGTCATCTATAGCTCCAATTTCAACAAATTTATGATCAAACTAATCGGCTCGACGAGATGGACCCAATGATACCAAAATTGGTCCAATCTAAGTCAAATCAAGCTCAGATCAAGTCATTATATAACTTTTGAAAGTTTTACGGCCATATTTGAAAAATCAAATGGATGTCAAATCCGATAAGCTCATGATTGAATCGAGTGTCTTGAAAAGATAAATCCAACGAGCTCAAGATCAGTCAATTCTTGCATCGTTAAGGCACTCAAATATCCATCAAATGCATTTGATTGAGGGACCCTCTTACGGTCGTCTAATTAGAGTGGTTTATATTTCTTCATTAATTGTAATCGGGACTCTATAAATAGAGCATCACCCCGCTCATCAGGGGGAGGAGAGCTTGAGGCCCGGGAGGAGCGCTGGAGGCCTGAAGAAGAATTTGAAGCGTGGAGAAGGAGATCAAGTCCAGTGTCACTTCGATGTAAATTGTCGCTGAGTGCCAGTTGTCGATTTCCACCAACCACCGGTGCTTGACCGTCGCTGACCGCATTTGACCATTACTCGTCGATCATCGCCGATCAGCATTGATTGTCGCTCGCTCCTCACGATGAGTTCATTAGCACACCAACTCTTTAGCTTGGAAGTTTGTGTAGCTATTACTCGCCTGTGAGACAAGAGACCATACTTGTAATCTTCAGTTTATAGTGGATCTCTTCAGCTGAGCTAAGCGTGATTGTTTTTCCCTTTACGAGCTTTTCATGTACAAACTTCTGACGTCTCTACTGATTGTTTTCTTTTATCAGAGTATGTGTGAAATTCTCATGCAATGCTAAGATGAAAATCCATTACTCTACTGCCGTGAATTTTCTAACACGCATCAGTTTGACATCGTCCGTGGGAAACAAAATAGCATTCGACACTGTCTTCAACTTTGAGACGTCGAGCCCCTACTTTATTTTCCAATATCTTCCAACTGGAGAAAGAACCTTCTTTTCATCTTGAAGATCATCTCTGGAGCATTCTTCGATGTGGGGGGCAACCTTCACTGTAGTCTCGAAAAACTAGAGAAAGAATATGAAAACATCATCTAACAAAAGAAAGAATGCGTAACTATTGGATCAAGTTGGTAAATAATGTTATTGAAACCAAAATAAAGTGCAACTATGGGATCCATGAAGTGAAAAAAAAATCAAAATAAAGAGGCAAAAGCACATGAAACAAGAGAAAATCTCATTTAAAGTTAGAAAATTAAATATCATATTCTTATCAATTTGGAATTTGATACATCAAATATTATTAGCGAATCGGTTTTGATTCTTCTTATCAAAGCTAATTTACACATTAAGCTGGTTGAGTTGAAGAAGTTCAATAAATCCTTCTAAATGACTCGCTCTTTAGTATCATAGAACACATTTAAAAAGAAACAAATAATATCTCAATATAGACCCATAAGTATTCATGGATAGCTAATTTAATCCCAAAGTATCACATTTCTCCTAGTCAAAATAATAAATTTAATAAAAAAAATGATCACTCCTGTAAAAAATGTGATAAAAAAATAATCTCATTTTAGTCCCTCAATTACATAAAATTGCTCCTCTTACTGGTTAAATTGAGATTAATTTTATATAGTCGAAGGACTAAATCCTTCGACTAAATTGAAAAAAAAAAGAAACTTGGAAACTAAATTGGCCGCATATAAATAACCAAGTACCTAATTTAGAGTTTGACACATACTACAAAAGAAATTTTATGGTACATAAAAATTAGAAGTGGATGAATTGATAGTTGAAGTCCCCCACATATCATCACAAGCCCTATTAATGTTACCCAACTTTTTGGAGTAAGCTTTATGAAATCTTTTAAGCCACTACACTTGTGCATATACTTCAATTTTGATCAATGTTATTCTTGGCCTATCATTATTCATAAGTCTTTCATATTATTTCTTTAAATCCTTTTTATTAGAACATTTTCTTTTATAATTGTACATTTCCAAAACACTTAATGTTACCCCACTAGTCCCTTGAATAAATATAATTCTATCTTAAATTATCCTTATTAATATTACAACATACTAACAATAACATTCTCATTTCTACTACAAAAAATCTTGGCCATCAACGATTTATGTGCACTTCAACACTTGGATCCAAATAACATAGTTGGCCAAATGTAGTTTTGAAATTTTTTCCTTAAAACCTTTATGATATTCATCCGGCACATAATAGTTCCAAGACAATTCTTTATTTTAACTATCTAATTTTAACTCTGTAATTAAAATAATCATCCATATCCCTAATATTTGACATAATAAATGAATATATTTAAAATTATAAAACATAGTCTGACTAACTGTCTAGAATTTAAACATTTTTAGGCAAAGAAATCCTTTTAGTTAATATGAATACTTATTTTAATCAATAACAAGGTCCATACTAGAATTTTCAAAATAATAAAATCCAAAGTCCTCAATATTGTATTTGGGAAGATTTATAAGCTAAATCACACTTAAATCCTATAAAAAATAGAATACCAAACAGCCTCTAAGAAAAATAATAAACGTTGTCTTGGGGTTGTTGAAGGCCCCGTGCTCCAGCTACTAAAAAAATACCCATACCAGAGCCAAGGTATTTAACTGCTTGTTGCACGTTAAACAATTTAAATATCCTGTAAGACTAAATGATAGAGATTAATTATTTGAAATTCATATTTACGCAAGCACGCATATCCAAAGATAATCCTGCTTCAACCTAAAAAGAGATCATGTCATCCCGCCAAAGAGTGAGCAGATAGCTAACGGGATTCAATAAAAAAAGTAGGTGAAAACTGATTTAGTTGATAAAGCTTTTAAAAGTTGTTATCAGGATATGAAATGTAATTCCTCGACATCAAATTTATGCCCGGAACACTCAGCTTTGCAAGAAAAAAAAAATGCTGAAAAGAATGATGGATGTTTAAAATAGCATTTGATTTAAATTCCTAGTAGTTTCTTACTCATTATTTCCTAATTCCAAACCAAACAGAAACAGATGCTGGAACTACCATCACAAAGAAAAAAAAGATAAGCTGGAACCAGCATGCTTGGGGACAAAATAAACTATCGAAACAGAACTAACACATACAAATAATAGCAGATAACGAAAAAATATAGATAAAAGCCTAAGCATTCATTCAAGTGTCCTACCTGCAAATTTGCAGCGGTTGCAGCACAGGAGCTATAAAGCTTCTTCGTTAGAAAAGCAACGCACTCAAACGGATCAGCAGTCGAAAGCTCCATCTGCGCAACAACAGAATCGTGAGGCCCCTTAATCTCAACCGCCTCATCCTCACCCCACACCCCTCCTCCTCTATCCTCCCTACCAATCGATGTCTTCAAAGACGAAACCGCGGCATTATACTTTGGACCGGCCTTCAGATTCTGAGCAGACGGGACTCTCTTATTAGAATCTAATCTCGAATAGGACTTATCGGCTGTCGATAATGCCTCCTCGGCAGTCATTTCTTCAAGATAATTCTCCAATAACCACTCAGACGGGCACCGAATCATCGAGCTTAGCTGAACGCCGGCGATCGCCGGCTGCGGAGCACAGAAGGGATCCAGCAGGTCATCCATGGATAAAACTTTGTCCATGAGGCTGAGGGAATTGGAGGGAGCTTGGCGATGGTTATAAAACTATCGCGAGGATATCTCCGCGCTTTACGATTCGGATATTTTTTAAATTGGAAGATTTACGTTCATACCACTTCATTCCTATGTATTTACACATTACAAACCTAAACTATTTTTTTCACAATTATACCATTCAAATACACACTTTTTCATGGTTAGGCATGGTGGCATATAGGGCTGTAAACGAGCCGAACAAGAGTGAGCCAATTTACACATTCATGTTCGGCTCGTTTATATTTCGAGCTCAAAAAGTGTGTTCGTGTTCGGCTCGTTTGCTTAACGAGCGAACACGAGCTGTTCACGAACAAAGAGTCCTTTGAACAACTCTAATCATGTAGTCATAAAACAATAAGGGTTTGAGCAACATTTAAAAATTATTATTTATATTAAAACATCATTTGAATCTAATTTAATAATTTTTGCTATTTCCTTAATCAAGATTTTAATTGATTATAAATTTTTGTAGCCTTGTAGTCAATTAGATTTTTTTAAAATA